GGGTTCGAGTCCTGCCCTGACTACTACCTGGATTTGTTTCACGGTAGCTCTGAGTTTAAATCCTCAGTCACGCTTGTAAATATCCAACTGGTCTGCCTCCAGCCAGTTGGGATTTTAAACAATGTTATGTCCAATTTGAATTATTTGTTTCAGTTTTTTTAGTTGTTCATCCATTCGACCTAATCCGTTCGAAAATTTTAATTTGCTGTTCATCCGTTCGAAAATTTTAACTAGCCGTTCATCCGTTCGACTTCGTCCGTTCGAAAATTGTCACTAGCCATTCATCCATTTGACTTAATCCGTTCGAAAATTTTAATTAGCCGTTCATCCGTTCACAGTATCCGTTTCGAACGGCTTTCCTAGCCGTTTGTCACCCGTTCGCTTGCCGTTCCATTCACTGTTTGAACGGCTACGGTTAAGAACGTTTTTGCATGAGAGGTCACATAATTATGGGAAATCAGTGTCCTTACAGTGGTAGCACTACGTAATGCAATGTACACTAAAAACACCAAATGTGGAACAGTGCACTCTGGCTAAATGCAACACATTCTGGTAAAAAGTGATGAATTTGAGAATTCCCACCCCCCATATAGACTTCTTAAATCCTAATTATGTTACTGTTCACTTGCTATACTCCCTGTACAACAAGAAATATCAATTGTGAGTGAGTTAGTCATTTGAGCACAATATAGTTCACATCTTTAAAGTAGTTTGGATATAGGCTACAGGAAAAAAAAAGTTGATCTGCAAACATGGCAGAGGTCAAACACAATGGGAGTCACAATATCAAAAATACACACACACACACACATACACAAGAAAAAACTAGACATGGTAAAAAAGAGACATGAATAGATTTACCATCTGTTGGCTCCACTAAGTTAAGAAATCCACATTTGGCATAAACTTGTACTCCAAGCAGGAGAGACACCTTGAGGAGAATAACTTGAAGTCTACGAATACCTGAAATGAGAAGTTCCACCTATTAGCATAATTATACTATAAATCATTATGTAAATATTTGCATACTGGGCAGTATTCCGAGCCATGCTTCACAAACACAGATAAGATCTTGTTCAGCAAGGAGATACTTGAAATGTTTAATAAGTGAACTTTGGGTAAATAATAAGAGTTTGCTACTCAACTAGAAAGCACCTAATTACTATACTGACTAACATGATTCAAAAGCATTTTATCACTTTGTCTTCTAATAATAGGAATGATGATAAACTTGTCACAATCTAGTTATTTTCCTTCTTTAAGAGATGGTTGCCTTAATAAGATTTGACGATGCTATCTTGACGCAAAAACGTCCAAAATTTGTTCACGCTGCAAATGAAAATTTATTTAAAAATCTGAATGTGACAAGAGGCATTATTATTTAGCACTGCAGGGCCGAGAAAGGTGCATTTAAAAAATTATACCAGTGGGACAGAATTACTGTTTCGTGTGCGGCTTTTAAGTTTGGAAATCAGGTCAAGTCTTGTCTAGTCAAATAACTACCTTTTGATTGGGAAGAATTGAAAAATATTCACTTCCTCGCTCCAACAGTCGTACGATGAATAGTTTGTAGTAACTCCCAGACCGATGAGCGAAGCCACCCGCAGTCTCTAATATGCGACATTAATTCGGACAACACATAAACGGATAATTCATCGTCAGCTTCCATTTATCCGGTCACTCGAGTAATACTCGCAAAACAGAAGAAAATACAGAGCTATTGACTGCAGAGGTTATTTGAGACGGCAAGCCGCTCTGTTGAGTTAATTGCCTCGCGTTTAGGTTAATTATAAAAAAAAAAGAAAAAAAATTCAGTGTTGTGTTTCTTAATTCTCTGAGGAAAAATTTTTTTGGATTGAAAACCACCTATGCTAAAAGTTTGAATCCTTTAGGATCAGTTACGGTTATTGTAGAAGTTATATTTTGCTCCCTTACATCTCAGCTCTTGTTATGTATCACAATGAAAATAGAAGAAGTTATGTAATGTTGAACTCCTGCGATGCATGATAGAAATCACGCCGGAATAATGATTTAAATTGAGCATAAACGATTCTAATTTCGATCGCTGCTAGTTACATAAGAGTCAGTCAGGCTATATATTCGATCCAATCTTTCAGTAACAATAGTTGAACAGTTTTGTATGATACACCGAATCGATCCATATTTTAGCACGCAAAAATGTACCCCGGTATTTGGTGAGTACATCGAGGATTCCGGAAGTAACAAATATTCAAGGGAATAAGGAAAACTACTCACTTATGTGATCGATAGCTCCAGCACAGAACTGTCCGAAGAATTTCTTTGCTCCTAAATTTTTCAAGTCCACAATTAAGAATGGCCACAGATGAAGGACATTGTTACGAGAAAAGCGATCTCGTTTTTCGATGACAACGACGTAAGCACCGAGTAGAGCAGCTTCGATTGCTGATCTCAATCCACATGGCCCTGCTCCGATGATGAGCACTTTATTTTTGACACACGGCTTGTTTTTGTAATCCTTGTGTTCTGCTCGTTTGTCTAGTTTCGTCCATAGAGATTTGCACTTCCAAGAAGTTAATTTGGACTTGAGGGAAGCATATAGAGTCTTATGGTTGCGAGGGTTGACGTCGACACTTTGACAGAGTTTTCGGAAAACATCTAGCGTCTCCTGGAGATCGGTAGTTTGAAGAAAGGCATCAAATAGTTCACCCGGCGTCAGAGTGCAGATCTCTTCTTTGAAATGGCCATCTACCTCTTCCTCCATAACGCGTCAAATACTTGACTTTCGTGAGCTCGGAGGAGTGGTTCGCTCGATAGCTGTTACTTGTCAACGCTCCAAATAGCTCGAATTACTCACCTTTTTACCATTTGAACGATATCTTCGATGGGAGCCTTTCCAAATAAGTTTCTAACTTGACTAATTTCATCTTGGTTTCAAGCCAAAGATACAAAATTCAAGCGAAACATAAGCATAATTTCGATGTCAAACAAAACGTTCATTTAATAAACAAAGTGTTAAACGCAGCGAAGTTTGTCAGCGGTGTCCTCCCAAGAGACTTCCCACTGTATTTACATTGTACTTCTTTGCTATCTCTATTGTTCTTCAAAACCGGAGGTCACAGGCTTGTCACACCAGAATTATTTGGCAATGAGGCAATAAGGTGACTAAAATTCGATATTCGCTTTCACGATTTGAAAGGTTAAGCGTTAATCCTTTAAGTGAAGGAGAACTGTAAATCATATGCTGCGAAATGAAGACTATTTCATCAGTCTATTAGCCTAAAGCTCGTGACCATCACATAACAATTGGCATCCACGAGGTAGTCCACTTCCGGTAGCATGCCATGTACGATGCCGTTTTCGATAGATGATGTTTTGTCCGTTAGATGCAAAAGGTTAGCATCCTTTACCTGAACGGTCATATTCATAGAAAAATTAACTATAGTCCCAACCGCGACAATTTCAGTTTTTGTAATTGCCCGAGGATATAGAATCGCATCTTCGGACTTGAGAAAGCCCCAATATGTAAATGTTTTCCAAATAGTTTCCAATGCATATCAGGTTATGATTTTATGTAAAGAGTGCCGTGTTATTAAACATCTTCTGGACCTGCAAAAAAGGGCTGGGTAAAATTTAAAATGAACTCTTTTGAGGGATGCCAGCTCAGCGAGAGGGCTGTAACGACAAGTCTCGTGATCTTGGGGACAGTAATGTCTCAGCCGCTTTAACGTGGGTATGTCATCATCAGGGCCTTGAGGAAGTTAATTAATTGTTCCTCAGTCTTACATTTTATTGTGAAGAATACGAAGTTGAGGAAAGATTTAAATGTGTAGTGTCGATGAACTACACCCATTACACACTCCCAAAGAATAAATTTAGTTAATATGTCGGGTAGATCAAGGCGCTTCAAGTCTTTCTGCGTAGTTTATAACTTCCGCAATTTTGTTTACAGGAATGAAGAACGTGAAACGATTCAGCAAGTACTGAGAAACCGCACGTAACTACTCTCTGATAATTTCTGAGGTCACTGAGCACGCATCTTACCGTAACTGAAAAAAAAGAAACAAAAATAAATGACTGTTCTCAGTTGTGTCCGTGAGGCCAAAGAAACGCTGGTCAAACCTCAAGGTCTATGTTTATGACTAAGACAATCTGTGCAATATACGTAATAAATGATTAAAAGAACGATTTGCAGGTTTATCGTTCATTCCCTTACGCCTTTTTTCTCTTTTGTTTTCATTTCAGACGTTGAAGTATTAATTTTTTGCCTACTTTTAGTGTGGGGACTTAGTATTTCATTAGTAATGGTCTTTGAAAGTGTATCTCGTTAGTCCTAAATAGCTGTTTGTACTCACAATTAGAAGTGCAAAAGTCTTGTCAAAGGGAATTATTTAAATCTTTATCATCTAAGGGTGGAAAGCAAATGAGGGGAAAAAATGAAAAAGTAGTTTCATATGTTTGAACACTTTCATAATTCAAGAATTAAAATGATGACGACCAAAGCTGTTCATGACAGCGTCCTGCCCATGATAAAATAAAACTTGAAAAATGCAGCTGTAGTTAAGTTTACAGCAATTGCACGTGTTTAGGTCGTGTCGGCGTTTAATATGTATCTTGGCGGGTGATTTGTCGGTGAACTTACCCCATAGATTCTGTTTTACAAGGCTGTCAAAATAAGTTTTGGACAGCTTGTATAGGTCTATCAAGGTCTTTCTTCGGTAGAAAAGTCAAAATGATTGAGATCTGTTTCAAAAATCATGAAATACTAGTAACATTTCGTCTTTTTTAAATTATGGACAGAAGTCGTTGTTTCCATGTGGACTCATTATCATTGACAAGTGCTATTACATCAATCGAATTCTGTTAACTCGCTTTTATCCTCTTTCAATCACTGATTTGTGCACAGCTGTTTATGAATTTGCTGTGCTAAATACTGCGTTCAACAGCACTGGATTGATTTAAACGCCGAAGCAAATCGGAAGATAATTATTTTATTCTAATTCTTTACATTTCGCGTGATGAATTTAGACAGAGTCTTCCTCTACAGGAAATGAGAAGGAGATATACATTAAGGGTTGCGGTTAAACTGACTCACCCCGATAACTACAAAAGCGCCTCCCATAAATTCAATCAGGGTTCAACTGCTGTTTCGTTGAGAAAAGCCGAAGAATGGCAGCCGTTTTAAGGTCGATCTTTGGTTTCCCCTTGTGCTGCTTTCCTTGTTTAGGGAAAGCGAAGAAAAATCCAGCGTCACAGGCCAGTGGAATCGTTGGTGATTTGTGTGGCTCATCTGGAGCAGAGGAGAAATGTCCCTTATTTAAAATTTTCGATGGATCTTCCTCAAGGTTAGTTTATATTTGCCACAAGGGTCATGCCAATCATCTCGGTTTGAAAGGATTTCATCTTTTCATTGACAGCCCTGTATTTCTTCTTTTTTGTGAAGATATCACAATTTGCAAGAGGGTACACTCTTTGTTCATTTTTTATCTCCCTTGACTTCTCTCTAAGATTGGAAAAGTATTCCTTTTCAGTCGTTAGCACAGCTTCTTTTTCCCCTCTTCCTTAGCGTCACTTCTTACATGCTTTGGTCTAACTCTTTTAAATCTTGCGGATCGTATTTTCTGTCACTTAAATGAAGCGTTCCTGAAGAAACCAAAAACTATGCTCCGTGTGTCTTACTTGAACATTTAACTCACTTCAATGATCTAAAACCACCATTGCAATTTTAGAAGGTAAAATGAATTAATTCTCGATTAATTTATCAGTTCATCAGTGATTTCCTTTAACAAATTCATCGGTTTGACGCTAATAGAGATAAAAATCTAATTCATTAAATTTTAAATATCAAGCAGGTTACGCAAGAGTTTCTAACGATAAGGAGAGCACGTAAAACTTACCTACGGTGCGTTTTGAAGACCCATTATACCCTCCCAAAGCAAAGAAAAAAAAAACAACAACAACAACAATTACAATAACAACAACTACTTCCCCGTGCCACCTTGCGCACGTTGTACCCAGAAAGCCATCTGTTCGGTAAACCGCATAAACAACACAGTTATTTTTTAAATCCATAGCGCAAATGGTCAACAGAAAATTCCAACTGGAAAGAAGAAGACTTCCATTCGTGGTTCTTGAGAGGTAATCGCATAAACAAACGATACCGTTAAAAGAGTTATCTTACTTTTGATTGCGGGGGGAGGGGATGGGGAGTCAGAAAACGTAAACTAAATAGGGCGCATGGAGATGGTTGTGTACCTTCATCTCTTCGTCGTAAAAAAACAATAGTAAGCCAACTTTTTCAAATTCGTCCTTATCGTCAAATTCACGCTTAAAGTCTGCCCTTTGAATGTCAGATATTTCTCGGGTGGTCGGCTATATTCTTAAACGGTTGTTTTATTTCCAGTAAGCAGCTCCTTAAAACGTTCTATACCAGCACTGAGGCACGAAGAGTTTTATTTATGAAAAACAGAAAAACACGAAGATTACGATCTAACGTAAGAAACGCTTTGGACTTTCTTTTTCAGACGATTGCGAGACAAGTTGACCCCATTATGTCACTGTTGTCCGACCTCGTGGGCCAATGTTTGGAAGTAATTCAGATAAATTTAGTTCGCTAACATTTATAAATAGGATTATTGGCAGAGAAATAGTAAGATATAACTCTCGCAGCGATACATATATCAATAACAATGAGTTCCATCTTCAACAATGTATGCAATGTTAAAATAGCACCTGTAAACATACAACAGTAAGGAGGCCGAGTTCGACCATAAATCTGACACATATTAATTGTACAACACGGGTTTATAACGCTGTGGTCTGTGGAGACTCTTTTGTAAGCTTGTAGACATTGCAAACGTGACAAATAAAAAAGGGGTCATATTAGGACATAGTTTATATTTTATTTTGGTCGCCCTAGATTTATTACAGTGACAGCAAAGGACTTATGATTCTACAGCTAGTTTATCGCCCTTCAGCTTCCACGCATTTTTCCTGTGGATGATTTTTATACTTCTTCTGGTAGGGACTCTTTGCGAAGCATCGGGCAGCGATCAAATCACATTTGCACACAAGGTTGCGACATTTACCATATATGAAATATGATGAAGCCGGTTCTGCAATTAAAAGATTTAAAACGGGTCAAAACTAATGGCCTTCTAAAACACCCACCCATCCCACCCCAGGGGAGGACATCCATCACACAGTAATCTCGTGTGTGGGAAATTAACGTCTCCTACCCCTAACCCTGCAGGAGACGGGACCTCCATTTATTCGTCCCTATCCGAGAAGACTACAATATCTAACCATTTCTTGATATTATAGAAAGGTAGCAAATTCTTCTCAATTATTTTAAGACCCTGAGTGTTGGTCCGGCCGGGACTCGAACCCTCGACCTCCCGCACAACAGTCCAGCGGTGGCTAGAAGTGGATTTTTAATATCCACCATAAGCCATCTCCACTGACTTTGGTCAGTGAATAGTTGTTAATTGAACTGAATATTTAGCGAGCGCTGTAACCAATGCTAAATTAATGACTACTACGGCTAATTATATTATATCGCGGTTGTTTGGATTGGTTAAGAACACGTATGCACACAGACTGAATTGGGCTCTACACGGTCTTAGTTTCATTACCCGGGCCTCGGGATCAGTCAGGACAAAGCTCAAAATTACAGTTTTGAATTTAATAATTACTGGTCGAGAAGGGCGTGGTGCGAACCAATTTTTAACCAATCACAGAGCGAACAGACGCTTAACCAATGAAAATTCGAAGAATGTTAGACACTGAATTAAAAGTTGCTCTTCACGGTTTGATTACAAGAATGGGTCAACCATTAATGTTCATCTGACATGTTTTAAGATTATTTTCACCATTTTCTCCCGTATAAAAGATGATTCGTTCTTATATGAAGATTAGTGTGATACACTATACGCAGGAACAAACCTAGGGCCACAAGGCAATCCCTCATTACCCGGCTGGATTATCAGCTGATTTGCTCGTCTTTGTAAAACTTAATCATATCTCTAGAAGTAAATCTTCAACCTACCGCATTCCGTTTTTTCATCGTCTTTGGTTACTGAATAGCTCATAAGGTACACAGCCTTCTCATATGGGCAGTCCTCTGAATGCATAATTTTACTGTAGCAGTTATCATGGGCTTCACAACACCTACGAATTAACGAACAGAACGGCCGTGGGCCAACCAACCTGATCAGTTAAGCGTTCTATGTTAATGATAGGCACTGTATGAAAGATGAATCAACCATCAATTATCAGCGAAGACTGCACTGAATGAGACGTACACACGCATGCATCACGTCCTGTCTGCCGGTATATCTCGATAAGGGACCATTCCTTACTCGTCGCTTG